CATATGATTCTTGTTTTTAAGTCTATTAATACTGATGAATTACTTTTATTGATTTCCATATGTTGAACTAACCCTGCATCCCTGGTCCTACTTGATCATGGTACACTATCTTTTTAATATGTTTATCTATGTGACTTGCCAGAATTTTATTGAGAATTCTTGCATCTATGTTCATCAGGGATATTGGTCTGAAGTTTTCATTCCTTGATGTGTCTTTGTCTAGTTTTGGTATCAGGGTGATATTAGCCTCATAGAATGAGTTTGAAAGTGTTCCCTCTTTTTCTATTTCATGGAATACTTTGTTCTTCTTTGAAGGTCTTGTAGAACTTGGCAGAGAATCCATCTGGTCCTTGGCTTTTCTTGGTTGGTAGGCTTTTGATGGTGTTTTCTATTTCATTACTTGAAATTGATCTGTTTAAAGCATGTATGACCGCCTCATTCAGTTTGGGTAGGTCATATGTCTCTAGAAGTCTGTGGATGTCTTTGATATTTTCTATTTTAGTAGAGTATACATTTTCAAAATGTTTTCTAATTATCAAGAATGGCTATATTTGTGACATAAATTTTATTTGATATAAATCTTGCTTTACATGTTTTAAACTTATTATATTTTGAATATTTACCCATGCTTCTAAAGTTCAATACCTAGTATTTCATAGCATGCACTCATCACATTTTCTGTTTCCTTAGTGAGGAACATTTGGGTTACTCAAATTCTCTCTACTGCAATCAATACTGAGATGAACTTCTTTGAACCTCATGGGATTTGAACTTATTTTTCTGGGGGCATCTGTCCAAGAGTGAGACTTCTGAATCACAGGGTGAATACATACTTAATTTCATTAAAGATTATCAGATTGTTTTCTAACCAGAAGTACACAAGGGGTACTCTTTCTCCAAGTCTACACTAATATTTGATATTACCTGAATTTTATTTTTTGCCAATCTGATAAGCATGAACTGGTATCTTGTTTTAATTCACACTTCTCTGATTACTAATAAGCTCAACTATTTTTATTAGTCACTCAGATTGATCTCCTGTCTACTATCTCACCTCTCCATGGTGAATGATCCAAATTCATAGTATTACCTGGTTCTTTTTCTCTTTTCCTTTTATCTCCTCTCCTTTCCTTTCTTCCTCTCCCCTTCCCTTTGCTCCCCTCCTGTGTCCTTCTATTCCCTCCCTTCTTTTTTTGAGTTGGGGGTGAAGGGTGTCTCATAGTGTTGCCCAGGTTGGCCTCAAACCCCTGGGACCAAGTGATCCTCTTACCTCAGCCTCCCAAAGAAGCTGGGATTATAGGCATGAGCCACTGTGCCTGACCTATTATTTTTCTATAGAGGTCCTTATTTATTATTATAGATTTTAGATGGCACTGACCCTAGAGTTTTAGAAATGTATAGGGATTTATTTTGGGGGTTCTTCTAGAATAGAAACAATAGAACATATTGATTGCCAGTTATTTCAATACAAATTCCTTTAAAAATTATATGTTCATGTTTTATCTTAAAAAAATAAATGCAGAGGAAGTTTATTTTACCTATGGAGTCTTAACTTCAGAATAGTAAAAAGGACTTCTGTAATTTGGATCTTAAGTGTCCCCTAATGATCCATGTGTTATAAAGGGCTAGTCCTCACCTTGGTGTTACTAGGTGGTGGTGGAACCTTTAAGAGGTGGTGCTTAGTGGGAGGCCTTTTAGGTCATTGGGGTGTGCCTTCAGAGGGCATTGTGGTACCACCATTTTGGTAAATTAAGACTAAAATAAGTATCCAAAAATAAATGTATTGTCAATGAAGTGTTTTAAGATTAAAAAAAAAAAAAGGGCATTGTGGGACCCTGGTCTTTTCCTTTTCCTCCCTTTCTCTTTCTGGTGAAGAGGTGAGCAGTTTTTCTCCCTGATGCCCTCCCCATCATTATCATCCCCCAAAGGCCTAAAAACAATGACTCTGCCTGATCTTAGACTGGAACCTGAAAACTGTGAGCCAAAATAACCATTTTCTTTTTATGAACTAATTATCTCAGTTATTTGTTATAGTAACAGAAAGTTGACTAATACAAGAATACAAAGCTTTTGTTAAAAATAGTTGTGGGGAAGATATTGGGTGTCATTAGGCTGAGAAATGTTAATTCAGATATTAACCTTTTGTTGGCTTTTGATGTTTCTAAAGACTTTGTATTTTAATCATCTACTGGTTAATTTTTATCTATGTTGAGATGTATTTCATATACAGTATAGTTCACTCATTTCAAGTGTATAATTGAGTGGGTTTGGTTTACTACATTGTTAATTTTTAAAAATTGTAGTATAATTGACATAATATTTGCCATTTTCACATTTTTAAATGCATCACACAGTGAAATTGTATTCATCATGTCGGGCATCTATCACCAACTCCTGTTTCTGAATATTTCCATCAATCCAAACCAAAATTATTTAACCATTAAGCAATAATTCTCCACCCTGCCAACTTGGCAGAATCTATTGTCTCAGGAATTTATGTATCCTAGGTACCTACATAAGTGGAATCATACATTATTAGTCCTTTTGTGTCTGACTTATTTCACTTCTCAAGGTTCATCTAATAATGCGTAACAGAACCTCATTCATTTTTATGGACTATCAATATACCATTGTATGTGTATAGCACATTTTGTTTTTCCACTTTTTTAATGCATGATACAATGAACACTGGCATCAAGTACTTGAGTCCCTAGGAGTGGAATTGTTGGGTCATAAGAATATGAGCTTACAGTGAAAATCAGTCAATCAATTAATGGGGCAAGAGAAACATCCCTTATAGATGTTAAAGGCTAAGCCCTTGAAATATGTTAATCTGCATAACTGGGAAAACTCTTCCTTTACAGCATAATGTTTTAGGCTGACAAATGGCCAAGAGCTTTTATCCTATTATTACCAAAAACTTTTGCAGATTAAGAAACATCAAGGGGCTGGGGTTGTGGCTCAGAGGTAGAGCACTCACCTAACATGCGTGAGGCCCCGGGTTCAATCCTCAACACCACATAAAAAATAAAATATAGGGACTGGGATGGTGGCTCAGTGATAGAGTGCTCGCCTAGCATGCATGAGGCACTGGGTTCGATCCTCGGCACCACATTAAAAACAACAACAACAACAAACTAATGTATTCACCTAAAACTAAAGATAGGTAAATAAATAAATATTAAAAAAATAATATATATTGGGTCCACCTATAACCAAAAAAAAAAAAAAAAAAAAAGAAACAAACATCAAGCTGAGCGTTATGGTGCATGCCTGTAATCCCAGCCAATTGGGAGGCTGAGACAGGAGGATCTCGAGTTCAAAGCCAGCCTCAGCAAGGGCAAGGCCCTAAGCAACTCAGTGAGACCTGTCTCTTAATACAAAATTGAGCTGGGGATGTGGCTCAGTGGTTGAATGCCCCTGAGTTCAATCTCTGGTACCCCCAACCCCCCTAAAAAGAGAAACATCAATTTGTGGCTCAGTGATAGAGCTCTTGCCTAATTTATGTGAGGCACTGTGTTCTATCCTCAGCACCACATAAATAAAGGTATTGTGTCCACCTACAACTAAAATTTAAAAAAAATATATATATATATATAAAGGAAACATTGGGCTGGGGTTGTGGCTCAGTGGTAGAGCACTTGCCTAGCACGTGTGAGGCACTGAGTTTGATGCTTAGTACTGCATATAAAATAAAAGGTCCATAAACAACTAAAAAAAATTAAAAAAAGAAACATCAATTTGCTCTAATTGCAAATTGATGGAGGACTAATTGTAAAGTTGGAGACTTATACTTTCTGATATCACTACTTCCCTGAAAACTGCAATAATCAAAACCGTGTGATAGTGTCATACAGATATTCTTATAATCTATTACTGGCATTAATTTTTATTTTTGGTACAGGGATTCAACTCAGGGGCAATCGACCACTGAGCCACATCCTCAGTCCCTTTTTGTATTTTATTTAGAGACAGGGTCTCACTGAATATCCTTAGTGTCTTGCCCTTGCTGAGGCTGGCTTTGAACTTGTGATCCTCCTGTCTTGGCCTTCCAAGCTGCTGGGATTATAGGTATGCTCCACTGAGCCTGGCTGATGTTAAATTATTTTGATGCTCAAACAGTACCAGATTTGGCTGGGAAGGTCCTTCAAGTTGGCTTTGTTCATTTGACTCCCTGTTTTTTCATGAGCCCTCCTTTTTTTTTTTTTTTTTGGTATTGGGGATTTAACCCAGGGGTGCCTTAACCACTGAACCACATCTCAGCCTTTATTTTTTAAAATATTTTTAGTTGAAGATGGGACACAATATCTTTATTTTATTTATTTTACTGTGGTGCTGAGGATCAAATCCAGTGCCTCACACATGCTAGGCAAGTGCTCCACCATTGAGCCCCAACCCCAAACCTTTATTTTTTATTGAGACATGTGCTAAGTTGCTTAGTTGTTTAATTCACAAAAGACATTACAGACCCGGCCATGGCCCTGGAATGAGCAGTTCTCTAGAGGTAAAACTGGTTTTAAATACATTTATTTTATTTACTTATTTTTATGTGGTGTTGAGGATCAAATCCAGCACCTCGCTAGGTAAGTGCTCTACTGCTGAGCCACAACCCTAGCCACAAGAAACACATTTTTTTTTAGTAAATTTTATTGATCATTTATTTTAAAAAGAAGTAACCATTTTACACAATTTTATATTTGCTTTAATGCCTGTTAATTTCTAGTATCACTTTAAACATTTCCCACAACCCAGTATATTTCATGATATCCTGATCTTGTGATCAAAATTCTCCCCAACCACACTTTTTAATTTTTTCATCCCAGTGCTAGAGATCAAACTCAGGGCCTCCAGCATGCCAGGAAAGTGCTCTACTGCTGAGCTACACCCCCAACCCTACACTAGTTTTTAAGAACATAAACTAGCAAAAGTGGCAAGGAATTAAAGTATTTACATTTTTAAAATGTGGTACTAAAATATATGTAAAATAAGAAGCATCTGCATATTTTGTATGTGTGAATATTTTATTCTGCTTCCAGATATAAGATACAAACATTTTTTACATGTTATTTTAAAGACACCAAATGTACAGCTAACTGACATAAAACAGACATGAGATACGATGCAAATGAGAAAAGTCTCAAGTTTTAACTTCATTTACCCTATTAGGAACATCACAACTTCTGAAATCAACACTGGCCTTGTGAATCAAGTACTTTTTTCCCATAAGCACTTATCCACTCTTCCAGAAAGCGTATCATGCTTTTGTGTCTAAAGAATCAGTGAAGAAGTAAGCTTTTCCATCTTCCCAAAGCACTAAATGTTACTTGGAATTAGGTCTTTGGACAGAATCCAATATCTGATTTTATAAAACAATATTTTCCTTCCTAAAAAGTTCTTCTCTGAAAACGTATCAAGAAATTATTGGGGGGCTGGGGATGTGGCTCAAGCGGTAGCGCGCTCACCTGGCATGCGTGCGGCCCGGGTTCGATCCTCAGCACCACATACAAACAAAGATGTTGTGTCCGCCAAATACTAAAAAATAAATATTAAAAAATTCTCTCTCTCTCTCTACCTCTATCTCTCTCACTCTCTCTTTAAAAAAAAAAAAAAACAAAAAAAAAAAAAAAAAGAAATTATTGAATTAGAGAGCAAATATATGGCATCTTTATATTACAAAGGAAATCAGGGAAGACTTAAAAGGAAGAGCAGCAAGTATTTTTTAAAAAATATCAAATTTTGACATTTGGAGCAATATAATTGCCTTATTATTATTTTAATTTAAAAAAGGCCTTTTCCAGCTTGTTTCCAGGCTTCTTTTACTCCTTTAATGCTTTCTTTTTTCACACATTTCCAGTATTCTTGTATACTCTGTTGTTGTGGCACCTGTTGACCAACAGTAAAATATACAGTCATTTTCTTCAAGGATAAACATTATTTCATGTGAGCTTTATGGTTTTGCTTATTTCCTTCCCACACTCCTCCCTAGAAAAACTGAAGGTGAATTATACTGTAAAACTTACTAATGAAAATCAAATTTACTAATTTTCTACAAACTATGTTTGTTGCAGAAAACTGAGCTTACTTTTCTAAGTTGTAAATGAATAGCCTTATCTGCAAGAACTTGGACACTGTATATTCTATTATCCTCTTTCTTCCAGCCTAACTACCTCCCTATGTACCATGTAGATTCTCTTTGGAACCTAGTTTTGGAAACCTTTGCAGATATCTCTCATGAGTGCTTCCAGCAGATACTAATCTAAATAAATTCCAAGTTTATTTTATAGACCAATAGGTGAAGATGAGTGAATAATTATAATAGCTAATATTTACTTCATGTGTCTCAGTTGCGGTGCTAAGTATTTTACACTCAATTCTAATAATTCTTTCTGGTAGATTTTATCAGTATTCTATTTAGACAGATGAGAAATATGAGTGGAGGCTCAGAAAATTAAGTTATGCAAAATTCAGCAGTTAATAAACGATAAAGCCAGATTTGAATCTAAAGAGGTTGTATGACTATAGAGCCCAAAGTCAAATCCTAGGCTGATTTCTGAATAGTGGTATCTATTAGGTTCAAATTTTTTTAAAAGCAAAGAAAAATGCTGAAATTCATTTTATGATAAAGATATTTCAATGTTTCAACTATAGCTTATAATTGCTTTATAAATGGTTAAAATTCCATTTAAGACTCTGTAATTTGCCCATTGATAATAACATTATCAATATTAGTAACATATAATAAGTAGTTTTTTAAAAACTCAAAATATGTTACCCATAAACCTCGATGCATCCTGTTTTTTAACACCCCAAGAAACTCTTCATGGCTAAGGCATTCATCATCATCCAAATCAAAGATCTTGAAGACCGTGTCCAAAATATTGTTTGAGAGCTCTTGTCCTGTTGCTACTTTTACAGCTCTCTTAAACTCCGCTTTAAACAAACAAAACACAACCCATCAAATAGGTGAAACAGTGTAAGTGGAATTATCTAAATTTTCATTATATGAGAAGTAAAAAGAAATCTAAGGTTTTATTATTTGGGAACTAAAATACAAAAATACTCATAATGAATTTATTCAAATAATAATTTGGTTTAGAAATGACATAAGAGTAACTGTAAGTCTAAGTAAGATATTTTAATTGAATTGAAATGTTAGCTACATATTTAAATATTTCCTTTCCTTTTTAGGAGAATGAGAAACAAAAGCAAAACAGTAACTGTTGAATAAATCTTTTGATATTGTAAATCTAGAATAACTATATAGAAATAAAAGGAAAATTATTTTGCTGAAAACTGGTTCCTTGGTTGGTATCATCTAGTTGAAAAACAGAAATAGCTTATGGATGATAAAAATTAAATGATTTAAGGGCTGGGGATGTGGCTCAAGTGGTAGCGCGCTCGCCTGGCATGCGTGCGCCCCGGGTTCGATCCTCAGCACCACATACAAAGATGTTCTGTCCACCTAAAAAATAAATATTAAAAAAAAAATGATTCATATATCTTACCTAGTCTGACAGGTCGATTAGCTAAGCTAAACATTTGCATGGCAATAGCAAAGTCTTCCAAGTGGGTTGTAAAATGGCAAAATGACTTGAACTCATCCAAACTAATGCTCTAATAAAAATAAAGAGGTTTTATTACAATTTTATAAAAACATTAAGCAATCTTATGAATATAATTGTGAGTCGTCTTTTCTATCATAAAGCTTATAAAGTTAGATCTAAGCAAGCCTATTAAAAAGTTCAAGACGCAGAATAATACTAGAATTAAAGGTTTTAGAATTTAAGAACAGTGTGAGAATAACTAGTAGGGCCACAGACTCTGTGACTGTATAGACTGGAGACTGTGAATGGGGTCTCCTCGAGTTGTACATTGTAAACCTTGGGGCGGCCCTGAGTTATGGACTGAATTCATATTTTGAAGCCTTAATCCCCAATGTAACTTTATTTTGGCGACAGGGCCTGTAAGGAGATGAATATATAATAGGAATTGAGCCCTAATTCAATAAGACTGGTGTCCAATAAGAAGAAGAGATATCAGAACTCATTCACTCTTGTGAATACTAGGTCTCCTTATGTGTGCACAAAGAAATGGTCGCATGAGGACAAAAAGAGATGGCGCTGTGAGCAAGCTGAGAAGGAAGACCTTACCAGATAATAGCCCTGCTAGAATTTTGACTTCCTCCTGAATAGTGAGGAAATACATTTGTATTGTTTAAGCTGCTCAGTTGGTGTATTTTCTTATGGTAGCTCAAGGAAACTAACACAGTCTGTTAAGTGGCCACTTCTGCTTAGTTTTACTAGTGAACATAGTACTGAATAAGAGAATTTAGGTTTGGAGATGGACTTAACGTTGAAATTCCAGTTCTGTCACTTACTCTGGTGATCTTAGCGAAAGTTTTAGGTAAGTAATCCTTTAGGAGTTAAGTAATTTGACCAGGTATATTAAGTGGAACAATTAGATGTGGAACTCCGTCCATCTGACTTCAAAATCTATGTATTTCAAATAAAAACAAAGGTCTGGGGATATGGCTCAGTGGTAGAATGCTTGCCCAACACATGTATAGCCCTGGATTCCATCTCCAACCCTATGAAACAGACAAATAAAAACCCCAAAGAAATCCCTCAAAACAAAACAAAAAAAATATTAAAAGATAATTTTTCCATTAAAAGTAAAAAGTATAGGGCTCAGGCTGTAGCTCATCGGCAGAGCAGTTGCTTTGCATGTGTGAGGCATTAAGTTTGATCCTCAGCCCACATAAAAATAAACAAAGACATTCTGTCCATCTACAACTATAAAAAAATTAAAGTAAAAAGTATAAAAATTCATAACTTAAAAGAAACATTTTCACTATTTTTAGAAAAGTGAAGGGAACTTGTAGGGAACTTCAGGATGATGTTCTTTGCATATGTGTGGTCTTACTCAAGTTTCTAAAGAAGTAATATGAACATGTAGCATCCTTTAAGAAAAGGGGGATGGTAAAACACTATGTCCCTTAATGTCCAAATACATAGTATCTTGAAGGACACTGGCTTTTTCTTATGCATACTGAGAACTGGGGCAAGTTAGTGTTATCTGTAGAAAGCTACTTGCCTGCATATACATCAGGGTAGTTACTCCTTGGGATACTGGTCATAGAAGCAAACTAAGCAAGCTAATGCTGATTATGTCACTGCTTCTATACCCTAATATATAAACTCCCTGAGTGAGAACTAGTGTAGAACTGAGGGCATTGTGGAAAGGATATATATTATTCATCCAGCTGGCTGCCACTGGACAAAAAAAGATAAGGGAGAGGAGAAACTATTTGGCAAAACAATGAGGGACAGAGGTGCTATGTGTTCAGTCAATTGCTACTGAACTCTTCTTGAAGCAGTCACTAAACTCTCTTAAGCTTTTCTCAGTAAAACATATGTCTTGCTGCGCTCTGGGCACTTTCTTTGGCCTTTCTGCAATCTACCCTAATGTTCTGGCTCAATTTGGCTGTGAACATCATAAAAATTCAAGCAGTACAAAGTATAAATAATGAAAAAAATTTTGTTACTCTTCTAATCTTCAATTCCTTTCCCCAGAGATAAAGCACTGACACCTGTTCATCCTACCAGAAATATTCTACTTGTATACTATTTCACGTGTACATACACATACACAAAATCTTGTTTTACGGTGGGAACATCCTCTTCACACATTTCTAGACTTTGCTTTATTTTATTAACAGTCTATTAATCAGGGGCTAGGGTTGTGGCTCAGCGGTAGAGCCCTTGCCTAGCACATGTGGGATGCTGGTTTCGATCCTCAGCACCACATAAAAATAAAATAAAGGTATTGTGTCCAACTACAACTAAAACAAAATATCTTTTTTTAAATAACCAGTTAATTTGTAACTGCAGTAAATCTAGGATGTTCTAAGTAATAAAATCATTATATTTATAGACCTATTAAAGGAAGAGTGGCCGTTATTTTATATATATATATCCCACATATAACATAGATAAGTTTTCTTTGATAGCCATCAACATTAGAAAGCTTTCTTCATTTTTTTCTTTTTTTTTTTAGTTGCAGATGAACACAATACCTTTATTTTTATTTTATTTTATTTTATTTTATTTTATTTTTGTGGTGCTGGAGATTGAACTCAGGGCCTTGTGCCTGCGAGGCAATCACTTACCAAGCTATGTCCCCAGCCCTTTATTTTTTAATGTGGTGCTGATGATTGAACCCAGTGCACAGTGCCTCATGTGTGCGAGACAAGCACTCTATCACTGAACTATAACCCCAGCCACTGTTAGATGTATTTCTAATTGTTATATATTTATATTTCAGTTATAATGGGATCTTTATGTTTAATATTTTCTTTCACATTAGAAATAGTGTTTTTAAAAAAGTTATATAAAATTATATGTCTGCCGCAAAATGGTTTTTGGAACAATACATAAAAGTAAAAATCACTTGGAATCTCACTACTGTACAGTAATCATTACTAATAGTTTGGTGGTCATCATTCTATACTTCACACACACATACACACACCCCATTACATTTTCTAACTTGAAATTTGTATCTAGGACAGGTACTTCTAATATATTAGCACTGCAATAGGCATTTACTTGAATTATTGTTTCTAATGATTTTTTTGACTGGATTCTCTGGGCACAAAATCATATCAAGTGGAAAGACAATTGTTACCTTCCAATTTTTATACTCTTTAAAAAAATAATCTTACTTACTTGCAATGGCTAAGGTCCTCCAACATATATTTAATAACAGTGGTAAGAGGAGATTCTTGTTCCTAACTTTAGTGGTAATGTAAACTCATGATTACTATACTAATTCTGTCTTAGTAGTTCATTCATAGGAAAACAGTATGTGGAAAATATTCTTCAACTTGATTTTATAGTTCCATAAAAGAACAATCTTGGTTAACTTAGAAGTTACTTTAATAAAAAAGAAAATGCTAACTTATTTCATCTTTATCACATGCAAATGAAAAGGGCATACGAACCTCTCCTGCTGACAACCTCTCTCTAACGTTTTTCCAATAAACGTCTTTATTTTCAGTGTTAGTGAAAAAAAGTAGCCACTCTGCAAAGTCTTCTTTTCTCATGAAACTCAAACCTTTAGAAAACTGAAGGAATTCCATTTCTTGAATCTCTGTTTGTAAATTTTCTGTAAATCTAAATATTAAAATACAAAAAAATTGATAAAAGCAATTAATAGCATTCGACCATAATATTGTAAATAGGACTTCAAAGTGCCTTCATTATTCCCTCCTGATTGACAGGTGTCTTGATATAGTGAGCAGTTATAGTGTTATTGCTATAAAAAGGCTTGTGGGGAAGAAGATGCAGAGAAGTTGGTAAGGTTCAATGCCTGCTTCATTTAATCTCTGACTTCCCATACTCAATTTATTTGTGTAAATTATATCTGGCAATATACATTTGTGTGTGTGTGTGTGTGTGTTTTAATTAGATGTTGATGGATGTATTCATTCATTCATTCATTCATTCATTTATTTATATGTGGTGCTGAGAATCAACCCAGTGCCTAGCACATGCTAGGGAAGTGCTCTACCACTTGAGCCACAACCCCAGCCCTGGCAATCTACATTTTGATAAATATTTTAAAATTATGTAAATTGTTTTGATATATCCAAAGAAAATAAAATTCCATGGAAAACAATTTTTCCAATATAGAAACATTATCAATGATCAGACAAGTTTAAGGGGCACTGCTTTTAGAATGTTAATCATAATTAATAGTTTCTAAAATTTTTCAGATATCAAAATTTATACGTAACCAATGGCTTTGAATTGAAAGATCTTCCTAAAGATATCGATAATCTTTTGGACAATAACATATGTCTATATGATCAACATTCCTTTCTCATAAAAACAACATGGCACATTGATGAAACTTTCATCAATAGCTCCTGGGAAAGGTACAAGTTGAAAGGATATCTGAATAGGACCCAGAAATGCTGCACTTGTTTTATTACTAAATCATGTGAAAAGTATTATTATTTCCATGAGTTTTAATACGTTACAGATCTCTTTACTCACTTTTCTACATGTTAAAATTTCTTTACTGTCATGTCACAATTTAAATAAAAATAAATGGGGTGAAAAAAGAGGTACATTCTAATGCAGTGGGAGAAAATTTGTCACTGTAAACAATTATTTGCTTTAAAATTCCCTCCAAACCTTAAAAACTTGTTTTATCTTGGGCTTCTTCCTATGTGGTAGGCAAAAGTCTGTTATCTACATTTTCTGGATGTAGTGGATATACAAATTTTTAAATGCCATGTTTATTTATGGGTCAAAGCAGAATATTATCTAAAACTGGAAGCATTTCAAGTTTGCACTGATAGATCTGACATGAAGCAAAGAGACCTGTCAGAGGCAAGAAGAATCCAAGAGATTATTGATGAGAAAAGAATTAACAGTATTTGGTGACTGGATATAGAGAGAGAAAGTGCAAGTGAGAGTGATAGAGACACATAGATCAAAGACAACATCTTATTTCTAAATGGAGCTGATAAATGGTGTGATACATATTCACTGGTTCCAGTAATAAAAGGGAAGAATACCTATCTCACCTTACAAGGACAGGCAAGATAATATATATAAAACGCTTAGAAAAATGCCACACATGTCATAAGTATTCAATAGTAGCCGCTAACAGTGCTGAGGTTGTTATGTAACCATCTTTTCATTTTCCTCATTAATTAAGCCCAGGCAGACTTCACTTTTTGCTAGTTTGAGCCACTTTCTTGCTCATATTCTCAGTATGAGCTTTCTTGCTTATGTCCCCTTGGGATGCTAATAGGCTTCTTCAACTGACTTGAAGAACATCATACAATAGCTGCACATATTAGTATCTGTTTAAATTCACGGTCTTCCTCTTTAATGGGGTCCTTCCCTGCTCATTTGCTCCCAAACTTCAACACAGGGAGCACTAAATGATTTTCTGCATTACCAAAATACCTCTTAATCTATGAAAGCATTGATTACAATGCATTTAAATGTTTCTGTATGTCCCTATAAGGGACTGTTCCCAATGTCTGAAACATGGCCTGACAAATAGTACATAGTATGCACTCAATAAGTCTTTATTAAACTCCACTGAGTTGAACAAGATGCAAGGCTTGTGTTTCCCAAATCAGTGTTTTCCCTACTATACTGTACTGCTTTCTGATATCTGTTTTAGGACTTTGGTTAATGGAGTGGCACAAGGAGGCACGTATCTTGTTTTGTATGGAGTTACTCTCATTGGGAAGAAGTTAAGCAGGATCCTATATTTAAACATTCATGTGTGTGTATATGTATATACATCTATATATACATATATATGCATATATGTATGTATATATATGAAAAAAAAAATATATATATAAAAATAATTATTCTCATTCTACAGATAATGAGAAGTTAAATAAGTTGTTTAAGAATAAGGTTCATGTAAAGTTTTACTGAAATTTGGACATGTCTGTTAATGTATTATTTTTGGCTGCTTTCAAACTACAAGAGTAGAGTTGTGCAATTGTGACAGAGGCCATATTTACCATTTGGCCCTTTGCAGAAAAAGCTGGCCAGCCCTTGTGCTAGAGAATCAGAGACCATGTGGAGCACAGCTAAGTTGTTTCAGCAGAGGTAACCTTAGAAGAGATCACTATCAGCTAACCTATCAGCAGACTGCAAATGAGTAAGTCCAGTCAAGACCAACCTAACCTGGCCCCCACTGTAATTACGTCCAACTGACCTGAGGACTCATGGGCATAATAAATGGTCTGTGTTTTAAGATGGGTTGCTTTGTTTTGCATTAAGAATAAACTGACACCAAGGGCATGTCTCTTAGTTGCAAACACAAAATTACTAAAAAGAATTATTATATTCCATAAAACAGATTACTTTTTATAATAGATTAGAATATTTTCAGCATAAGTAACTTTATGCTTCATAGGTTCATTTCTCAGAGACAAAATGCCATATAGACCCATGTATAGTAGTTTTTGGTCTGCAGTGTTGAGAAATGAATATATTCAGTTTCTTCATTTCTTTTTTTTTTAATATTTATTTTTTAGTTTTAGATGAACACAATATCTTTATTTTACATTTATGAGGTACTGAGGATCGAACCCCTGCATGCTAGGCGAGCACTCTATCACTAAGCCACAACCCCAGCCCCAGTTTCTTCATTTCTTATGCATAACATTTTTTTCCCCTAGTACTGGGGATTGAATTCAGGGGGACTTGACCACTGAGCCACATCCCCAGCCCTGTTTTGTATTTTATTTAGAGACAGAGTCTCACTGAGTTGCTTAGTGTCTTGCTTTTGCTGAGGCTGGCTTTGAACTCATGGTGGTCCTGCCTCAGCCTCCCAAGCTCCTGGGATTATAGGCATGTGCCACAGCACTTCATAACATTCTCCTAAATAAATACATTTATATTACCTTCGAAATTCTTTATAGTGAAGTTTTCTTTCTCCTCTTTTTCCAAAGAAGTACATCTGAAGGGTTGTGTTAATTTCAGGTTCTTTCATTACTTGTTCCTATAAAAAATTAAATAATTTCAAATAAATACTCACAAGAACAAAAAATGAAACCCGTAGACTAGAACTCTTGGTATAATGTCCAGAAATGATTCTTGCAGGAAAAAATAAAAGGTGAAAAAGAGCGATGTAGTCATTCCTTCTGTATGTTACTTTGCCTGACATTATTACATTATCATCTTTGTTCAAGCAGGAGAAAAATAGTAAAGACTAGAAATACAAGATGGACTTCATCAGGAAGCAAAATCTTAGATCAGGCCAAAATGGGGGCTTAGAACAGAAAAGTAAATATCATTTCAAAATGTGATCTCTAGATATTTTCTAATATCACTGAAAATTAAAGCAGGAGTCTTTGAGCTTTAGCTGAACCTTAGAAATACTTGCAAACACTTGTTTTTCCTAATTACCAAATCAATAGGTGAAAATTTGAGCTGGGATTGTGACTCAGAGGAAGACCACTTGCCCAGCATGCATGAAGCACTGGGTTCGATCCTTAGCACCACATAAAAATAAAATAAAGATATTGTGTCCACCTATAACTAAAAAATAAATATTAAAAAAAGGTGAAAATTCCATTAAAGGTAATAAATGAAGTAGATTGTGTTATTTATTAAGAAACTGAAGAAGAAAGAAACAAAGGAAAATAAAACCACTAATAAATTTATCAGCAGCAAACAAACACCAAAAGGGGGTACAATTTTAAGTGTACCCCCTTTTTTTCTTTGGAAAAAAGAGCAGTCAGAGAAAGAAACACTAATTTCAGGTATAGAATCTCCATCATGTCTCCTAATTCTACCTCTATAACCTACTTCTCAGTAATAGAAGAGAACATGAGATTATTGCATTAAAACCTTCAATTCAGCGAAAAGTAGGTTAATGGGGTGAGAAGACAGTCCTAAGACAAGTTAGGGAAAACCTCCAGTAGACGCTCCTACCCAGCTGGGAGTGACTTGAGCAGCATTAGGAAGGGCTTCAAGGGCTTACAAGCTCCTAAATCACTGTTTAACTAAGGGAATAAAGTCCTCAGGGCGGAATATGCCTTGGAGGGGTAGAGCAGGTGTTGGATATTTAATGGGATCAGAGAGAACAGAATCTACCCTTTTTTTAAATGCCATTATACATGTACTCTTTTTTTTTTTTGCATTACAATTCTTAATACACATATATACCAAAATTTTTAATCTCTCTGTTTGTATATAAGGTATGTTGACACCAACTTCAAATCTTCTTACATATATTTTGTATAATGATGAATCTACCCTTTCATTCAAGCTCTGCATTTGGCTGAGGAAACTCCTCTATCCCTACAGTCTACACACAACAGCGGATCAAAATGCAGTACCTGCAGACTGGGGGAAAAAGATAAATTAGTTCCAGGTAATATGGGCAATGTATGAAAGAGAATCTCATCCATGTTCTACCAGAGTATAAGCCTAAGGAAAAAAATATGGCATGGAAACTTAGCAAAGGCACTAGAGCAGGAAACAGAAAAAAAACAAATTAGGCAAAAGGTGCAAAAAACTCGCTGTAGATAAGAACACAACCCAAGGAATAAATACATATTTCCCATGCATTTGTTCTCATACTTTTATTAAAAAATCTTAGCTCTTTATTGATATTCTAAGTAATGATACACAAAGATCCCTGGTATCATTTATTCAGTTTCTTCTAAGGGTGACATCTTATTATTATTATTATTTTTTTTTAGAGAGAGAGAGAGAGAGAGAGAATATTTTAATATTTATTTTTTAGTTTTTATCGGCGGACACAACATCTTTGTTTTGTATGTGGTGCTGAGGATCGAACCCGGGCCGCACGCATGCCAGGCGAGCGCGCTACCACTTGACCCACATCCCCAGCCCCTAAGGGTGACATCTTATAAAACTATAGTACAATATCTCACCTTGATATAGTCAACAGAGAGACTTTCCTTCCTCACTTAATCTTTTAGGCTTATGGCAACTTCCCTCTAGCTCCACCCTCTAACCTCTAAAAGCTTTTTTTTTTTTTCTCCTGTTGCTGATGTTAGAACTTAGGACCTAGCACAGGTTGGGCAAATGCTCTACCACTGACCTGTAACTCCAGCCTCTCTGGCAGCTATTAATTCCCCATATTTATAATACGATCATTTCAAAAACATTAACAGGTTGGGATAGAACAACTACTTGCCTTGCCTAGCATGCATGAGGCCCTGGCTTTGACTCCCAGCAACAAGAACAAGAAGCTATAATACAGTACATAACGTGTAATGTTGGCCTTTTTTTTTTTTTTGGTGCTGGGGATTGAATGCATCGCCCTGTGCATGCAAGACGAGCACTCTACCAACTGAGCTAAATCCTCAACCCTGGCTTTTTTTTTTTTTTCCCCCCTCAGCACAATTCTCTGGAGATTATCTAGGTTTTTGCTGGTTTCTTTTAATTGCAGAGTAATATTTCATGGTATGGATTACCATACTTTTTAACCATTCACCTGTTGAAGAACATTTGAATTATTTCTAATTTTAGACTACTACAAATAAAGCTGTTAAAAATTTGTGTACAGGTTTTGGGTGAACACAGGTTTTCATTTTTGTGGAACAAATACTCAGGATTTTTCAGACTGGCAGTTATCACTTTACTTTCCCACTAGCAAAAGATAAGTAACCTGCATCTTTGCATTTTTTTTTTCTCTGCATCTTTACAATCTTTGGTGTTGTAAGCATTTTAACATTTTAGTTATGTGGATTAGGTATGTTGTGATAATCTCACTACAGTTTTAACTTGCACTTCCCTAATGATGGTGCTGAGCATCTTTTCATGTTTTGTTTCTGTTCCTGTGTATTCCTTGGAGAAATGTCTATTCAAGTCCTTTGGCTGCTTTTTAATTGGGTTGCTTTTCTGGTGTTGAGTTGCAAGAGTTCTTTAAGTATTCTGATACTAGACCCTTATTAGATATATGATTTGCAAGGTTTTATAGGTTGTCTGTTTACACTTCATAGTGTCCTTTGGTGAACAAAACTTTTTGATTTTGATGAAGTCCAATATCTTATTTTTTCTTCTGTTTCTTTTTTTCATATTTATTTTTTAGTTTTCAGCGGACACAGCATCTTTATTTGTATGTGGTGCTGAGGATCGAAGCCAGGCCGCGCGCATGCCAGGCGAGCGCGCCACCACTTGAGCCACATCCCCAGCTCTCTTTTTTTCATTCTTAAGCCATTTGTTTGTCTCTCAAAAGATAATTGCAGTTTAATATTAACATATTCTTTTTTTCTATTATACCTAATATTTTAATCTTAATTATTTATTTTAATTAGGTATATATGATAACAGAATGTATTTAATTCATTGTACACAACTGCAGCAAAACTACATTTCTATGGTTGTACATGATAAGGCAACACATCATATGTGCAGTTATACATGTACCTAAGGTAATGATGTCCATCTCTTTCCACCATCTTTCCTGCTCCCATACTCCCTCCCCACCTCTCCCTCCCCTTTGCCCCATCAAAGTTCCTCCATTTTTCCCATGTCCCCCCTCCCCCATTATGGATCAGCATCCACTTCAGAGAGAACATTCGTCTTTGTTGCTTTGGGATTGGCTTACTTCACTTAGCATAATATTCTCCAACTACATCCATTTACCTGCAAATGCCATTATTCTCTTTTAGTGATGAGTAATATTCCATTGTGTTTATATACCAAAGTTTCTTTATCCATTCATCTATTGAAGGGCACCTAGGTTGCTTCCATAGTTCCACTATTATGAATTCAACTGCTATAAACATTGAGGTGGCTGCATTACTATAGTATGCTGATTTTAAGTCTTTTTGATATAGACCAAGGAGTGGGATAGCTGGGTCAAATGATGGCTCCATTCCAAGCTTTCTAAGGAATCTCCATATTGCTTTCCAGATTGATTGTACCAATTTGAAGTACACCAGCACTAAATGAGTGTGCCTTTTCCCCCACATCCTTGCCAACATTTATTGTTGTTTATATTCTTGATAACTGCCATTCTGACTGGCGTGAGATGAAATCTTAAGAGTAGTTTTGATTTGCATTTCTCTAGTTACTAGAGATGTTAAACATTTTTTCATATTTGTTGATGGAATGTATATCTTCTTCTGAGAAGTGCTGTTTCTTGTTTTAAATGTTATATCTAAAAAGCCATTGTCAAATTCAATATCATATGACATTCCCATATATATATTATAATATATATATATTTTTTTTGGGGGGGGGTGTGGGGATGAGGGTGGGGCTGGTAACTGAGAATTGAACTCAGGGGCACTTAACCACTGAGCCATATCCCCAGCCCTATTTTGTATTTTATTTATAGACAAGGTCTCACTGCGTTGCTTAGAGCCTTACTGCCTCAGATCCTTCTGCCTCAGCCTCCTAAGCTGCTGGGATCACAGGCGTGCATCACTGTGGCCGGCTCCTGCCTATATTTTTAAAGGAATTCCTTAGCTGTAGTCCTTATTTTAAGATATTTGATCCATCTGAGTTTTCTTTTTCTTTTTTTTTTTTTGGTGTGAGGAAGGAGTCAACTTCAATTTTTTTTCCATACAGATATCCAGGTGTACTAGCTATTGCTGAAGATACTTTATTATTGTTTTAGAATTGTAAATAACATTGTATTTTAAATTTTGGTGTCTAGATAGTCATTGCTAGTATACATAAATGTGCTTGATTCTTTATACAGCTGGCTTATATCCTGTGAACTTCCTAAAATCAATGTTAGTTACTGTTCTATTTGGGGGGGTGCATGATAAATTCCTCAGGAGTTTCTAGAGAGACAATGTCATCTACAAGTACAGGTCTTTTATTTCTTTGTGTTCCCTTATTGTAGTGATTAGAACTTTCAGCACTACTGTTGTGTAATAAGAGTCATGAAAATAAATACCCTTACCTTAGGGGACAGGAAATAAGTTTTTCATCATGTTAGTTTTTTTTTTTAATTGGTGCTCTTGATCAAGTTGCCTATATAGAATTCCCATTTATATATGTGTGTGTGTG